ACAATATGAAGTCCATTCTCGTGTCTCTGTTATGGTTTCTGGTCCTTCTGGGTTACTGTGCAACTCAGTGTGTCTTTTCTCATTTTCCAACACCTCCTCCACCAGGATCTACAGGTAAAAAGAGGAAAGGTTAAAATTTAAAAAAATATCTGAAACGTGTGAATGTTAAACATAACAATGCTTGGAAAATGTTGGGAAATAAAGTATATCTGATCATATTTAAACCTTTATATAATTTTTCTTAAGCTTATAAAAATAATTAAACAACAAGTAATGGATTCAGGAATTTGTACTCATAACTACATGTATATGAATAGATTCTGACTTTTACAATCGACGACTTACTTTTACACTAGGACAATACACGGAAGCTCTTTTGCGATATAATATTAAGCTTAAGAGTTAATTAAACGATAATAAAGGGTCATTTCAAAGCAAATATTACGTTGTCTAGGAAGAGAACGGCATCCACCCTACCCTCATTCCCCTCCCTTCCCATACTGTTGCTTTTCCTTTCGGAATGTATTTTCTTCCTTATTTCATTTCTTCAGAAAATGTGATTGAAAAGAGACACTATCCCTAACGAGTAAGGTGATTTAAGTTATGTAATTCTGCCTCGCATCATCTCTTGCACTGATTGCATACCAGTTCATCATGTTAGTACCCTAACACCATACCTATAACCACTATAATAGTTTCCTTGTCTATTATCATTTCCGAATCACCGTACATAAAGCAGGTTTAAATATCAAGTAAGCCGTCGACTGTAAAAGTCAGCGTTTCTCGCAAAAGTCCACTTGGCAAACCTCAGAAATTCTGCAACCCCTCTTATCCGTATATTTAGTCTTTTACAACAGACGACCTGTTTAGAGAAGTTTAATTATTTATTGTTCTTTACTTGAGATGTTTTCTTGCTATGCTTACTTCCATGCTTATTACTTGCTTATACTCGTTAATATGTGTCGTCTCTGGTGATTTCTCTAATGCTGAAGATAATATATGTAACATAACTGATCCTTTTATGAAACAATGCAATACCTATCGATAAATTACTACCTGCAAATATTCTGATTGGCTCGGAGATGAGTCATGGGTAGCACAAAAGCCATTTGACATTTCTAGAATTATAACTTTTCATTTTTTTTCTTGAATTAGATCCACCTCCTACCCACTGCAATTCATCTGGTGTGATTTTGGCACCAGGAGAAGCACACACAGATATGACAAGATGTTTGAGATGTCACTGTGGAGCAGATCTTGTACTGTACTGTTGCTCGTATGACATCGATTACATTACTGCTCCATTTTACCTTATCATTTAACCTTTATCTTCTTCACGATTACATTACTGCTCCATTTTACCTTATCATTTAAACTTTATCTTCTTCACGATTACATTACCGCTCCATTTTACCTTATCATTTAACCTTTATCTTCTTCACGGTTACATTACCGCTCCATTTTACCTTATCATTTAACCTTTATCTTCTTCACGCTTACATTCTGCATACACTTGACAAAATTGCCAACACATGACCTAAGAAAAGTAATTCTTCACTCTTTAAAACTTCTTTATGGTGTATTAAATATATATCTATGTTATATCGAAACAAATGAGGCATTCTTATGGTTAAGCTGATAAAAAAAAAATGCGATCTTAACCAAAGGGTAACTGACTTCATATCTGGGCAAAGATGGTGCGCAGTGCACGTCAGGAAATTGGTTTTGGGGAAAGAAAATCATTTGAGCGTCTTGTCATGACACCAAAACTTTTGTCAACACCACTATATTGAGAAAGATGGCAAATAAGACATACTTGTGTTGATTAGGCAAGTGTTTAATTAAGAATCGAATATAACAAGTGGTGCGTTAGCAATTTTGGCAAGTGTATTTTGATATTGAACTTATTTTTTCATTGGCATCACACATAGGTAACTGACACATCATTGTTGTTTTTAATATTATATTGGATACAGAATGCTCATGCAATACGCAGTACCAGAGGGTTGTGTTGTTAAAGAAAAGAACTGTACACAGAAGATTGTTCACAAAGCGGACGGATCTCCATGCCAATATCTTGCATCTTTTTCCAGAAAGTGACGTAACAACAAATGGAACAAAGTTGAAATTATCATTAAAGAAAATAACATTTCAAATTTTTAAATACATGTTTGTATTTATTTGAAAGTGTCCAATAAAAATAACAACCCTAATAACCTTTTATGTCTTTTCATTAAGTGAGGTAATTGTATAACTGAAAGCTGCATCAGCTTGCTATGAAAAAAATATGTAGTATATGTCAGTGTATAACACTGATATATACTGATGAACGCAGTTAATATTCGAATTTGATTGTACATGTATTTGATAATTTGGGTTGTTTAGAACGTATTTTCACGCTATGTCAGAGCAAATCGGGTCCATTTACGGGTAATCTGTTTGCAAACTGTTTTAAAAAATGGGGTTCGCAAGGCATGCAAATAAACAGTCGTGTAGTATAAAATCACAACTATATCAGCCAGACTGGAAATACATGCCTGTATTATGTAAAGTGCTAAAACCAAAGATTTTGAGACCACCCAGGATCTACAGGTAATAGCAGATGTAAGATAATAATTAAATAATTTATATCACAAATCAAAAAGGACGTGACCCTTTCTCAATGTTTGCATCGCTAAAGTCGAGTAGGAAGAATATATAATATCAAGTTTATAAGGTAAAGACGAACAGAGAAAAGGATGGCCTATTGACTGAGTGTTGTTTCACATCACGTGCAAGAATTTTTTTACTCTTATAGAGACGTTACTAGTTACCGTTGAAGGGATTTAATTTTACCTTTACTCCTAGATTATAGGCAACCAGGTAGTGAGGGTGCTTTACATCAAATGAGCTTAAATTACATCCTGGATATATCAAATGTAACTTCGTTTTTACCCTAATATATCTGGGCATACGAAATACAATGTTTATTGCAGCCCGGAGGACCGGGGCTGCTCTACACATATAAGTTTAAGTGTTGGTATATGGGGATTGAGGTGGGAGAAGTTATTCAGAATTAAAGTTTTCTAAACATTAAAAAGATTGTTAATCAGAATGTTCTTTCCCTTTATAAATTACGAGATACACAATAATTTTACTTCCATAAAGTGAAACTGTAAAAATATATATTTGTTTACATTACGGGATCTATAGCGGTATGGTCAAAAACTAAAATAAAAAAAAACCCATAACGCTTCAGTTCTGCAGCTAGATATAATCGAAAGGAGCAAGAAAATATGCACTTATTTCTATGTCACTTTCGGCTATGGACACTATTTTCCTAAAGAAAATAACACCTTTAATAGGTAATTTTGAAGCTTTTTTTCTGTTTAAACTGAGAAATATCCAAAATTGTTAAGTGCACATTTCAAGAGTTGTCCACCTTTTGTCATATTTTTCATGATTTATCACATTCATATATGTAACTCATTTTAAGCAAAGGACAAATGCACTTAAGCTATGCTTAATGGGCCCTTTTTCAGTGTCATTTTACTTTAAAATATATAACCAAATTGTTCTTTTTTGGTAATAATTAAACGCAAGCGGATATTTCTAATTAAAATCACGTTAAAATATCACGTAAATCAGCATGGATTTGAAACAAATGAAGATTTTTAAATGCCTGTAGATACCCTAAATCCGGAAAAGTCGTACCGAACCTTTTTTGAGTTTCGTTTATTTAAATCAAGGGGAGGAGACATTTAAATCGGACACTTGAACAATCTGATGGTGGATCATTGACTGGCGCGTTTCCCGAATGATACTTCTTGCGCTATTTCACCTGAGAAAAAAAATTGAATGAAGTTGTATATATGCCTGTAGCCATAGTGATCAAACTAAGAAATTTGCACGCTTGTATTTGAAATAATACAATAAGTATTAACATTAGTTCCTTTAAATTTTATAATGAAAAAAGGTGTATTTAGGTTGCTTTTAATACCGGTACCAATGTCTTGCATGAATGTTAAAAATATTTGACGCTTTTATGTATGATGACATTTTAACGACACTAAACTTTCCTAACCATCCCGTGTTCATAAGACCAAATACATACAAACTTCTCTATGCGGCACGACTTCGATATAATGATACAAAACGTGGCTATCTTTTACAGTGAGCACCTTTGGGGAATGTTTATCTGGGTAGAACTCACGTGACAACCGGTATTTTAAATAATTTATTCCACGGGTGGGTTCAGTAAAGGTCATACATGTAAATAGCTCTCGCTTGCTATAGGAAAAACATTGAACTTTTCATGCATTGTTAATATTCTAAGTACAAGCTAATCGTGTACAAGTTTCCTACTTTCACACAAGTTTTATAAATGTATAATGCGTTTGGGTCATAATGCGTTTGTTATTCGCACAAGTTTGTACAACGTTAGACTGACAATAAACAAAAACTTTGAAATGAATGACCATTCTCGATTTAAATACTGTAGAAAATCACGAATGTCGGCTGACCCCTACCACATTGTATGGCTTTGCTCTTTGTATATTCATGGAGTTCACCGATAAAATTTGTTGAATCTTATGGTTTACATATCAATAAATGATCTGAGATGAAAAATATGCTTAATTTGATTCTTCATTTTATCACATTTTACCGGGGTCCATAAGTGCACTGGTTCTTTCAAAATATTTTTTAAGGGCAAGAAAAGGCCAAAACCGTATCTACTTTCCTTCAATCTCTGACCCGATAGAAGTAATGCTATGTGATGGTTTCATATTTTGCAATTTGACTGAACCAAGAAGAAAATCACAAATATTGATAACACGATATCCGTTATCGTTAACACGTCATTAGTTCTAGGAATTTAAATTTTTTTTAATCATTTATTTGTAGTTTTCACTAGATTTATTTTATTTTATTCAAAGAAAGTTTAACATTGATTTACATCAATGAATATGCTTAAATAATTAATGAACAAAAATATTCAAGGTACAATTTATCAAGTATAGTCAGGTTACCATGGACAACGTCCTCGCCAATAGAAAAAGATTCCACTGAATGAGAAAGAATAAATCACTGATCAACTCAAAATAATTTCAGAAATGTTGACTATTTTATCTATAAAACCCGCACAAATTATGTCTTTTGATTAATCAAGCGGTTTTCTGGATGTTATGAATATGTTCTGTTCATTCTATGTGTTCTTGGGTTTGAAAACAGTTTGTTACCTTCATGTTGTGATTTGTATAACTTATTAAATCGATTTATGGTTAGGTTAAAAATCGTGCAAAAAGGTTATCGATATGTAGGAGTAATATGCTAAGGAAATCCCGGATTATCCTACCTGCACCGTGCGTACATAACTGTTGCTGTATGTTCTACCATTGAATCCGCACACTGGGTCATACATGTAGATAAAGCCACAGGCACAATTCCCTGTGGTTCTACAAGGGCACTCACCCCGACACCGCACGGCAACACCTCTACAGAAATTTTGAAATTCCAAAAGGGTCGTACATGTAGACAACTGTCTTTTTGTCAATTGAATGAATTTAGGTGCATGTGTGTATATATTCTATATTCCAAAAGATTTATTTTATATATACTAGTCAAAATAAGTGGTTTTGATTATTTCATCTCATGTTTTATGTTAAAACCACCGAATTAAGAGATCTTGAAAGCTGTACATGGTTAAGAATAAAAATGTTCAAATAGTATATAAAGTTTCCAATGATTTTATTTTTCTTTATGAAAGAATTCTAAGATAAATAAAATTAAAAATGTGATTAAGCATAAGTGACTTGAATCATTTCATATTCTTAATCATTAGATGGTGTGAGGAAATATCAAGTCCAAAAGCATGAAATATCTTTAAGTTTTGAAGACCTTTTCCTCAAATATATCTGCTTTTGTGAGTCTTTGTAATTTACCATAAATATTTATAATTTTTGTTATCTGGCTATTTCTAACATTATGTCTAAACTATTTTTAAAATATTTTCAAAAAATAAGGTCTAAACAACTGTGATATAAGCAATCCAAGTTATTTTCAAAAGAATAATATAGGAAACATCATTATCCGATAGCTACCAAAAATCCCTGGTAAGTTACTTCAATTTTTTGCGAGGTTTGTTAAAGTAGAAATACTTCAATGACAAATTATTGGAGAAAATTATATATTATTTTATATATTATACTATAAAACGCTTAAAATAACTCGCAACGTGGGTAAAAGTGCAAAGTGCATTTTGGCATGATTTCTCGTCTGCCTTGCGATGTCTAGGTTTGGAAAGGTAAACCCAAGTGACTTTAAAGAAAGTTATTTTGTGTCCGCAAAAACGAAATATGCAACCAATTTTTCCATCAGAATATTTACTGACTTCTGTATACTGGGGGTTTGGGGGGGGGGACTGATATAATGAATTACAAACTGATCTTTGTGAATGCCTACAGGATTTTTACAGTAATGTAAGAACAAAAACGGGGGAACTTTACAAAATGAACTCTTTGTTAAATATACCTCAGGAGATTTGCAGGTACATGAAAGAAAACTGTTACACCATCGATATTATCAGTAACCCGGGTTTTGGCCCTGCGAACAGTTGTTTATCGTCACTTTTGAGAAAAACCAGAGCAGAGGACGAGGGAAGTGTTAGCCAACATCCTGCTAAATTGGTAAAAGATCTGAGGAGACTTTATTGGCATAAGCTAGTTTTCGACCCTTCTCTCAGTTGATTCAAGAGCATGCTCTACGTATGTACAATTTCTAAAACGAGGTACATTATTGACAAACAAGTTGATCAAACAAGAATATCAGCAGTCTCGTTTAAATTCGTAAGTTCTATTGTCGATACAATGACCTTGTCAGCAAAAACAATTTATCATTGAGTCAAATGCTGACTGACGTTTTTCATACTAATAGTTATAGCATTATTCACACACTGAATTGTCGACGGATTTTCCCGTTATTTCCCTATCATGACAAGTAGCACACGGCGGGTGTGACCGGTCGGCAGGGGATGCTCACTCCTCTATGGCACCTGATTCTACCTCTGATGTTTTGGAGGTCCGTGTTTGCTCTGCTCCTATTTTGTATTGTTTATGGACTTCTGAGCTTGAATACTGTTCGTTATCTCCATATATTTCATTCGACACCCCAAAGACTCCTGAATGAGGTTAAATTTTGATATAGTTATATATTTCCTTAGACGAAGAATAGAAAACCTTCAAATTTTGAAGGTGCAGGATTTTGAAATCCTATGGGAAAATTGAGAACGCTTTGTGAGAAAACTGACTTCTAAAATTTCTAAGAATCACCAAGGAATAACAAATGAAAGGGAGAGTTCAGGAGCACGAATGTATGAAATAAAAAATTCCCCTCTCTGTCCCGTCAAGTTATTAGAGAAATACGTGTCAAAAAGACACTTGGGAAGTGATCCACTCTTTCTTCATCTAAAAAACAGTTTCTGTGATGAGGACATGGTTTGGTACAGAATGAACCATTGGGTTTGAACCAGTTGAAAAAAGTCATGAAAAATTTGTCTAAGAATGCCGGATTAACAAATGAATACACAAATCACTGCATTCGGTCAACCACAATTACACTGTTGAACCACTGTGGATTTGAATAAGTGGCCACCGAAATGAAGCATCACTTGCTAGCTATTGCTATGATACCTCTGATTACTCATTTTAGTATGTACTAATGATGTATTTATTAGTTTTACAGACAATGTTATATATAGATTTTGCAACCATGCATTTATGCATATACCTATTTATTTTTCAGATCAGCAGAAAAAGCTACGTCAGATGCTATCAGTGTTTGTGTTGGACATAAAGCAGGCCCTAGTAAAAAAAAATCCCGTCAGACATGCAAGTTTGTTTTTATTCAGAGGGAGGGGTAGCAATGATTATTGCAACCAAGTTACATTTTGCATGTAAACACATATGTTTTTGTAAAGGTAATATTATATTACATGGATTAAATAATTAAGTGCTGTTTCTGTTTTTTTAGGGAAAGCTATTAAAGCTGCAATTGAAAACACGTGTACAGTGAGAGGTTTGTAAACCTTATTTCACAAGATCTTTTGTTTAGCTCTAATTTAAAGATACATATAAATATCTATGCAAGCAATGAATGAAAGTGATAATTAATTACATGTACTATTTATTTTCTGTTTTACCAGATACTGAAATGACTGGTAATGATGATGCAGGACCCCTGAAGTGTGCCATAGATATGGAATAGAGTCCTCAGCAGACTGTCAAACCTATTTTTCAGTTTTCCGGATGCAATGTAACAATTCAGAATTACTATCATTAACATTTAAACAATATGTGATGCTTCAGTTGTATACAGTTTTGTTTAAACTGCGTTACTGTGTCACTATGTTTGTTTGTTTTGTTTGTTTGTTGTTTAACGTCCCTCTCGAGAATTTTTCACTCATATGGAGACGCCACCACTTGCCGGTGGAGAGCTGCAAATCTTGTCCTATGCTCGGCACTTACGGCCATTGAGCAGTGAGGGGTCTTTTTCGTGCCAACACCTACTGCGACACGGGACCTCGGTTTATACGGTCTCATCCGAAGGACCGGTCTCCACGTCCCACAGTAGGATTCGAACCCGCGACGTAAGGATCAACTCCTTACCTCGCGACTCTAGAGCAGACGCTCTAACCACTGCGCCACGCAGGCGACGTGTCACTATGTAAAGTTAAATTTATGAAAATAAAATGTTTAAAATGCACTGTATGTCACATTATTCAAAGACAGTCAGCATAATAATAACAATAAAGTTATTATTTGGATGTACTATGCCGAAATAGTAGTCCGGGATTGACACATAGTGTCAAATCCTGACTACCATTTTGACATTGTACATCCAAATAATAACACTATTATATAGAAAGAAAATAACACTTTGAATGAGTAATTGTGAGGCTTTTTTTCTGTTTAAACTAAGAAATGTCCAAATTATTCACTGCACATTTCAAGAGCTGTTCACCTTTTTGTCATATATTTCCTGATTTATTACATTCATATAATTAAATCGTTTTAAGCAAATTTCAAAATAATTTAAAACTAACAAATTTTTAGGACCAAAAAAAAAAAGCCAAAACCGTATCTACTTCCCTTCAATCTCCGCCTCGATAGAAGTAATGCAATGTGATGGCATTCAGAATTTGCAATTTGACTGACATCCCCCCCCCCTAAAAAAAGGAAAAAAACCCACTTATATTGATAACACGATATCAGTTATCGGATTATTTTAATCAGTCAGGCAAATGCAGTTTTTACTAGGTTCATTTTATTTCTTACCAAGAAAGTGAAAGTTTAACGTTGATATACATCAATGAATATACTTGAATAATTAATGAACAAAAATTGTTATTTAGCAAGTATAGTCAGGTTACCATGGACAACGTCCTCGCCAATAAAAAAATACTCCACTGAAAAAGAAAGAATTATTCACTGATCAACTCAAATAATTGCAAACATGTTGACTATTTTATCTATAAAACCAGCACAAATTGTGTACAAAAATGCACGTCTTTTGTTTAGTCAAGCGGTTTTCCGGATGCTGTGAATTTTATTTATTCTATATGTGTTTTGGGGTTGGAAAACTTTTTGTTACATACATGTTGTGATTTGTGAAACCTATTAAATCGATTTATGGCTAAGTTTAGAAAATCGAACAAAAGGATTACCGTTATGTAGGAGTAATATTGTAAAGTCATTGATAAATCTTACCTGCACCGCGCGACACAACTGTTGCTGTAAGTTCTACCATTGAATCCGCACACTGGGTCATAGATAAAGCCACAGGCACAATTTCCTGTGGTTCTACAAGGGCACTCACCCCGACACTGCACGGCAACACCTCTAGAGAAATTTTGAAATTTCAAAAAGTTCATAGACAACTGTCTTTTTGTCAATTGAATGGTGTTAGGTACATTGTGTATATATTCTATATACAAAAACATGTATTATATATCAAGTATATATCCTAGTCAAAATAATTGGTTTGATTATTTAAACTTACGTTTTATGTTTAAACCACCAATTTAAAAGATCGCTAAAGTTGTACATGGCCAAAGATAAAAATGTTCAAATTGTGTAAAATGTCTGAAATGATTTTATTTTTTATAAAGGAATTCTAGGATAAAAAAAAATTTAAACATGTTGTAACAAAAACGACTTGCATCATTTCATGTTATTAATTATAAGATGGAGTAAGGACATACCAAGTCCAAAAAGCACGAAAGGTCTTTAATACGCCCGAAAAATCGATGTCAGTCATCCAAATACATCAGCGTGTATATTAAGAGAATATATTTCTGGATCATAAAAGACGACCAAAATAATAAAATCAACAGAATCAACAGGGGGTTCTTGTAATATTTCAAGTTCACTGTTTTTACAAGTGACATATACGGTTTTCAAATGCGGTGTGTACAATTTTGGAGACGCTGCAAGAAGTGGAAAACAACAGTTATATGATGTAGATACAAAATCCCGTATTCATGACTACATGTATTATGAATTCTCGGAAGAACGCAAAAAAAAAAGAAGTATGTCACCCTGTTTTTTTTTTTTATTCATTGTTATATATCCTAAATGGGGAACATTATATCAATAACTTATTTTAAAAAAAAATAACGAACAATTTTAATAGTTTTTCTTCAAAGCCAAAAGTCATACGAACTTTCAAGAGTGAATGCAATAAAACACGCTCAGAGTGAATCGCTCGGGCAGGATAAATTGCTTCTTTTCATAAAAAATACATAATTTTTTATACACCTTCTTCTTAATTCATGATTTCACTGTATTAATGCCCGTTTTAAATATTTCTATTAATAATAAAGCACAAAGGTTGGTAGACCAGCGTTACTTACGCACATCCTGCACAGGCTGAGTTAGAATACGTCCTGCCGTTAATCCCACAAACAGGATCGAAGACTTGTATGCAAGCACAATCTAAATAAAACATATCAGAAAAAACGTCATCACTTCCTAAGAATCTCATCCACTATCATTTTTTTAATAAGAGAAGAAAACTAACTTTGTAAAGAACGACAATACTTTTTATTGTGGAAAATTTTCCTCTTCTAAAAGATAACGAGGAAGTATTAAATTGAAATAATTGATGTTACTTATATGTGCACAAAACATAAAACAGCTTAAACAGTTATTATACTTGAAGCTAAAATTATTTCCTTATATCCGTTATTTTTTTGTATATGAAATTATAAAACAGTTCGTTCCTTTTGTAGTACTTTGCATAGTGATAACTTCAATATAGGGAGAAATAACTGTGTTCGATTTTCTAGCGTTTTATTGAATTTTCATTCCTTACTGTTCGTCTGAGAATGCACCATCGTCGAAGCCACCAAAAGTAAAAAGAAATAAAGTCCCATGTTCTGTTTGTTCAAAAAATTCTACAAAAATAATACCAAACATAGACATGTACATGTATGTAGCCAAATTATACTGCTACTTGTAGCTTGGATATTGAATGTCTTTTGTGTTTAATATTCTTTTACTTTCTTCTATATTTTTTTAATCGTATGAACATTGCATGGATTATACTTTATAAAATTTAAAACAAAACCTGTTGCTTTATAATTATCACGATGAAGGGATCCTTTTTAAGAATAAATCTGTATTTTGATAATTATACATTACAATGGAAAAACTTGCTGAGGTAATCTATATTTAGGCCAATTAAATCAACCATTCTTTCTTACCTTATTTTTGGGAACGATTGCAGTCTTTGAATACTCCCAAAACACAAGGACAAATAAATTTATACTCCTGAACGGTATTGTTTGAACAGAATGAAATAAGCCAGACATCCCTATGCATTATGTTAAAATTGCTCTTTGCAAGCTTATTTTGTGTTATTACAAGGAAATTGTTTCTTATAATTATCATCGAACTAGATATCAGTATGTATTCTTTCAGAACTCTACAGACAAACAGGTGTTTTGCAGGTTTTAGCAAATGCACTGATCTAGTTGACCTAATTACCTTTATCTTGTTACAAGCTATGGGTCTGCTAACGTTGAAAAGTTCTTCTTAGACTAAAGCCTTTTTTTAAATATGCAACATGTCATAAGAGGATATATCATGGTCTATCTATATTGTATTAAAAAATGCTTTTAATTATCGTATGCTGCCCCTAAACCCTTCGAAAATATATACAGACTCGCAAAAATTTAAATTCTAACAGATATTTTTGATTAGTTAGTTCGACATTTTTACATAAGTATACTTTTTGACATATATTGAAATTGTGAGACTTGAGGTTTTGTTAAACTATTACATCTTCACCACTTCTATACAATCACTCACCCTCACCCTGTTTTATCTGGTATCCAAATAAATTGATTGGTCCGTTAAGGCGTATATGAGAACCTACCGTGGCATTTAATGTCATTTTGCCTTTATAAATTAACACGACTAAACCATTCCCTGTTCGAATAAATTTTTAATACAAGCGTAGAATTCCTCAAGGAATTAAAAAAAAAATACAGAAACAGCAAAAACAAAAATATGAAACTAACAAACAAACAAAAAAAAAAAAAAAGAAAAAGAGAACAAAGGTATGATCAATATTCTCTGCTCTTTTCTTCTTTAAAAAAACATTGATTAGTCTTAGAGGGCTGTGGAATAGAATTCTTGTTATTACAAATAAATTGCAGATGTTGACAAAACGAACCACGCAAAATGCATGTTCCTTAATAAAAACTGTATCTGACAATCTCCAGATAGATTTATTGTAATCAATCATGCGACCAACAGTGTATTAGCTAATGTAAAGGCAAGAAGTTAATATGGGCAGAAAACTGATTCTGTCAGCAATTTTTGTGGTAGCTTTGCTTTTTTCATATGCTTTTATCGGAACTTTGGTAAGTTGATTTTTTTTCAATTTTATTAAGTCATGGTTACGAAAAAGTTTCACTAAAATCTGCAAACACACAAAAGCCTTGTAAATCACTCAGACACTTTTTACACTGATATGACCTTATCTTTCGTAAAATGTATATTTTTTTATTCTTCATTCTTTTAGTAAGAGTACGAAGTGTATGCTTTACAAACAAATTAGGTCATAAATGCAAAACGTTTTAAAGGTTATAATGATTATTTTTATGATTTTGATGATTTTATTATCCACAAACCTTACCGACTAGCTTCAAATCCTCCAATTATAATTATTTTTTGCTTTATATCACTTTAATATATATAACACACTCATTAATTTACTACTTGCAATTTAGAATGACATTATTTTAATTTATTTTACATGATACAATGGTAGCTTTTCCAGTCAATATTACAGTGAAACTTACTTATTTTATTGTTTTATAATTTATACTTATGTACATTGTAACATTGTAGAGATCAACGTGAAAATTATTTCACAGACAACATATGATGCATTGCTGTATAATATCTTGATAACACATTATCAACACAACATTATGATTTGTATATAGCCGAACACAACGTTACTGATGTATCTATGACGTTACTTTTTCCGGTATTTATTTTTCAGGCCCGTAGAACATGAGGGGGATGAGGGGTGGCTCTTTTTCTGAGTATAGTATTTTGCTATTATAATAGTTAATTTCCCTTTAGATGTTGCTCCTCACCCTTCATCCGCACTTCTTGTTGATGTTAGGTCGAGCTATAGAAAAATCCAGGATTTGAATAGGTTATTATGGGGTTTTTATTGCTTGTCAGTTTTTTTGGGAAGCCCATCCCCCTTCTGAAACTGTTGCTACGGGCCTGTGCTTATTTCATCCGCAATTCAATAAGTCTGTCACACGTACGTTTTTATAACCCCGCTCGGAAGAAGAGGGGTATACTGTTTTACCCTTGTGTTTCTGTCTGTGTGTCTGTCTGTTCATAACAAATTTGCAGTTTTCTCAGCAACCAATCATCGCAGATGCTTGAAATTTTAGCGCAATCTTTGATTAAGCATGCTATATGGTGGGATTCATTTTTGTTCGATTCCGACGTGATTAGATTCATTTTTGTGCGAATCCGTTCTCAACTTTCTTTTTATCTGTGCTTTTGTCCGTACCATACATAGCAAATTTTTGTCACAATTTTCTCGGTGGTTGAAAGTTACCACAAAACTTGCTGACAACTACTCAGCGCAGATGCTTGATTGAAATTTTAACGCACTCTTTGTTTAGGCATGCCATGTGGTGGGATTCATTTTTGTGTGAATCGATGTCAGCTTCCTGTTTACCCGTGCGTCTGTCAATACCAAATTTTTTTCACAGTTTTCTCAGCAACTTCTCCTTGCAGTTGCTTGAAATTGTAGCATTGATATTCTTCGTTTTTTTTATTTATACATAATTTCATTCCCATGAGGTCAATGGGATTTGGCAGCAGGTAGAGCCTATTTTTGCCCTCTCTCTGCAGCAAGGTCAAGGTAAATAACATTAATTAAACATTTTAAAAAATGCAAGGAAAAAGAAGGGAAAAAATATAATGAAGTACCGGTTTGGAAAAATTGACAAACGTTATATATATTTACATTATTGTGTTCTTTTATTTTGCATGTCATATAGCGGGATTCATTTTTGTACGAATCCGATTTCAGCTTCCTGTCGATTCGATCATCTGTCCGAACCAAATTTACGTCGCATCTGAACTTGTGATATTCACACGAGAGCATATATTCACATCAGAGCGGGGGTTATTACTAGTAAGCATTTGCTCAAAGACCTCTTGTTTAATGATTGCATATCATGATAGTTATCTTCCTATACAGGCCACTTACAGTGTTGGGGATCTGGTAAAGTTAAAGGAAGAAAACAACGAGCAACACATAGGGATTATACAGAAGCTGATCACAGACAGTTCTGGTTGGTAAAGCCGTGCAAATATCTAGTTGCCCAATTACGCAATGAACATTGTGCGACATGAAATTCTATTTGTGCGACAAACCTTACGACAAACAAGTTTTAAGAGTAATCAAAAACCTAATGAATAAATGTATGAAATCGATATCAAAAAGTATAATGTGTATTTTAACTTGTAATAGACAAGTGTGTCTCTGAACAATTATTGTACTTTCGATGGACTTTTAGTCTAATAATAATGTAATAATATCGCTTATGACACTTTCATAATACTCACTATAATGGATGTCAACGAATATTCTAATATTCATTCGATGAGTCGATATTCGAATATGAATTTAAGATTCGAATATTCGATGTCTTCACATTTCATAAAAAGAAGTACTGTGATTAATAAATTTTGATTAGAACAGTGCTGAAATTATTCCTGTTTAATTTACTAGCGATCAATTTCGATAGCCTGATTTCTTTCACTACTTTCTAATCTTATTGATCTACTAAATTATTATGTTTTGAGTAAGGTGTTAAGGAAATATATGATGATAACGAACAGTATTCAAGCTCAAAAGTCCAGTACACATTACAAAATAGGAGCAGAGCAAACACGGACTTCCAAAACATCAGAGGTGGGATCAGGTGCCATGGAGGAGTGAGCATTCCCTGACGACCGGTCACACCCGCCGTGTGCTCCTTTTCATGATTGGGAAATAACGGAAAAATCCGTCGACAATTCAGTGTGTAAATAATGGCCTAACAATTAGTATGAAAAACGTCAGCCAGCATTTGACTCAATGATAAATTGTATTGGCTGACAAGGTCATTGTATCGACCGTAGAACTTACGAAATGATGACTTTAAACGAGGCAGCTGATATATCTTGTTATAGGAATTATACAATAATGTTTTATGTATAATACAAAACGCACTTTCATAGCTTTTATTAGTTAAATACGATCGGATCTAGAATCGACGAAACAAAATGAAAACCTTCTTAGAATGTCTAAAAGACGTAACGAATAAACTTCCGGATAAATGTAATTGATCATTGAATGAATGTCCGATAGAATGAGCATGTAATTAATATTGTTAAGGGCTCAATTTTAGAATAAATGTGTAAGTTACTTGATTATCTAGGGTTGTGCATAATCCTGAATTTTATTTTCATTATCGGGAAATTACTTAATTACTTAGGAATATTATCCATGGAAATATTTGTCTATATTTCAAAAACATTGTATCAAAGATAATAATTATATCCCTTATTAGGCTGATAATTATAATTAATTACATTTATTGAAATCTGAACAGTGTACGACTATCTTGCTTTTGGTGTAAGACGACTGATTCCTCAGTTGGAGCTACTATAAATACACATGTATCAGTTGTTATAATTATACTTTTCTACATCAAAATCATTTATTCATTTCAGACATTGACAAATATCAAATGGAATTCTTTATTGTACAACTGCAAAAGTCTTCATACAATTTCACTCCCAATTTACTTACATGTACGTTAAACCTTTCACGAGATTAGGATAATGCATGTTTAAAATATACCAGATTTTATTTATTTTATCGAATATTCGAATATATTCAAATACTTTCATTGAATATTCGAATATGAATTATTGAAAAAATTGACATCCCTACAAAGTCACTATTATTGTATGCAAAAACATGTTCTATAAAAAACAATGTCAAATGATTAATTAAAAGTCATTGTAATCACTAAAGTTTAAAAGTGATTTTTGTTCTTCAATGTAATTTTAAAAAACATAATTTCCTTCACGAAATGTTGAAATGTTATTAAAAAAACAAATCTTTACTTAAACCAGGAAATGAAATGAAAAGAATATTTATTACTCAAACTAAGAAATTGACCCACGATTTTTCAGATGATATATCTGCTTTATTGAAAAATAAAAACAATTTTTTTCAAGGTGCTGTGACGGCCTGTGAAATAAGAATGACAGATGGATCCCTAGAGACGGTTACTAAAAATATCAATGACCTGGCCTTGACTTCATATGCCCCTGAAAACCCATGATGTACTATATCTGTTGATGAAATCAATGATTACCTCGTTATGGTTTGATTGCAGAACTAAGATATTTTATTTTATAAGGAATAAAAGGAGTTTTAATTGCTCGATCTCTAGTTATATTTCTTTCCATATTATAATAAAATACATTACTAATGCGGAAGAAAGTTGAGTATTATTATGGGAGTAGGAAAAGTAAACACTTGAGAATCAGTAGCCCTTTTCACAAAAAAACCTTACGTTTTCGCGAAAGATTTTAACGTAAGAATCTAGTACGATAAATCTTTTGTGCGTTTCACGAACGCATTCGTAGCAGAGTGAACTTTACGACAGACTTCTTCCCTCGCAAAGATCTGAAAAAGTCTTACAATCCTGAATAAAATAGATGAAATAAAAATGAAGCAAAGTTTTCAACCCCTGTAAGCGAAACATTGTGGAAACAAAAATCGAGTGCAAACGATTGTGAAGCAAAGAAGTTTGAAATCTGACGTCACAATCACAAGTCTGACGTAAAAGTAGGTCATACGAAAATATTACGAGAAACTGCCATCGTAGTTATTTTGCAATACATTTCATGTAATTTTTCAACAATAATATTAGATTGATATGAAATGTTATCGTAGGATCGATTAATCGTGTATCGTGTATTTATATTTTATCTGTTACATGTATATTCGTAAATTAAAATCGGTTCTAAGGTAGGGGTTAGGGCTCCCATGAAGTTACAACAAATTTCACAATAAGAATCTCGTAAGAATTTTTGTGAAAACGTATACCGGTAAAAGCATAAGATTTCTCTTACTATGAAAATTAATCGTCAGGTTTTGTTTTTTTTTTTTTTTGTTTTTTTTTTTTTGTTTTTTTGTCTGTTTTTGTTTTGGTAAAAAGGGATTCTGAACTGGAAAAAAAACCAAACAATTTTTCACTACAGAAAGCTTCAAACAGTGACTAGTTGATTCATTGTTCTGTTTATTAGACAAATAAATAAATATATATCCTGTGTGATCTTGTATTTGCTTTATCCGATGCGTTGGAATGGATTTATTTATCCAAGAGTTGAATATACACCATTTCATAGAGAATCAAATATAAACTCGCACAATTTTAGTTGTTCTATTTATCTCATACTATTATAGTGTTTAAGAAAACTTTCATGTAGTCCTTGTTGTCATCTCCCTCGGGAGATGACACATTAAGATTGTAAGCCGGAAGTGACGTCCAAGTGTAGGCTTCCACATATTGGACGAAAGAAAGATATTTGTAGATACACAATTTGAAATCTCAGAATGATATCTGCTGTGTCTGATTGGAGAATCTACTGGAGATTAATTGCATAAAAACTTTTGACTGGAGGCTGCAATACCACAAGAAAGGACTGAGGAATCGTTAACCCTACCCTTATTCTGTAATGCTAGTTGTTGATCTATGATAAGGTATAGTATTATGTAAGAAAGCATTGTTGAAAGTGGTTAGACTTTCCTGCATTGCAAAGGAATCTGGCACCAACAACTTATCTGCTAGGCCTAAAGTTACATATGAGAACGATTGGGAGGTGGGGGTAACACCCCTCATTGCAGTACCTTGTGCGATACATTAATACATTTTGACATTTCATAGAGGTAAAACTAATCATTTCCTGTTTTAGCGACCATTTTTGCTCATTGCAATTTACTTCATAAGGATAGAAAGTTTTGAGCGTTTGTGTAAAAACCGGACTCTCTAGTCTCTAATGACAAAGCATACTCGTGGATAAAGTTTATCTTTTGGGTAGTAACCACCATATGTAGGAGATCAATAAAATTTTCCGGTTACTATTTGAAGATACCGCTGATAAAGTAATCTGAAACTGTAAGGACACTTAAAAAAAGAAATCAAGATCAAATATTCTAGTTTATAGAACCTGGCATCTTTTATGTTATTATTTGTTTCAATTGCTTCTTATCATCCTTGATCAAACTGATAAATTAAGATATCCTCCCTGACAGATTTTGTAGAATTTTACTTAATCAAAACAAAGAGTTAGAAGAAATCATTTCATTTGTAGAAAAATCATTTGATATCCACCGGGACATAATTTGTTAATTGGAATAAAAAGTATGTCAGATTTGACGATGTAAAGAACATGCAGAAGGTGTTATTTAAACAAATGGTTTCTAAACCAATCAGACTCAGCTATTACATAGAGTATAATGTTGACAATAATAGTTTTCTTTTCTGCCAAGCAAATATAACACAAATACAAATATCAAGATTTTTCGTTACACCTCTGTTGATTTATTATAAATTAAACTAAGTCTTATAGAAATATTTAGAAATACAAGCAGTAAAATTTTATTTCTGTGAAATAAATAAATGCATTATGGAGTACGTCCTCATGGTATTTAACATTGTAGGTCTCTGCATCTTTCTTAAGCAAAAAGTGGCTTGTTTAAATCTTCCATCCACTAAAAGACGATCTATACCCATCTCGACTTATAATATGACCAGATGATGGTTGGTTAGGATTCCGTCTTACGTAAACCTCATCTCCCTGGTTCAGCTGTGTAACCACTATACCAGTGGCACTATGAAATTCATTAGTGTGGGTGCTATCGGACACGACCTCTCCTACAACCTCGGAATTTCTCATCAGCTGTGTGTAGACTATCCCAGTCCACGTGCTTTGTATCACCCAGGTAAAGACGTAAAGACCCGGATGGGGAGCAATAAACATTCCACTGAGAGTATGGAAGCCATTTCCAATGTTTGTTTGAATAACGTCGAAGTCAACGATATGCTGGCGTCCAGAAGCGAGTTCATCTCCGCTGACATAGCCATAGAAGGCAACTTTGTCTCCGTCTGTCGATGTTGGCACTAAAAATTCGAAGGGAAAAACTATATTTTTCCAAAAATTGATGTTGTAAAGATAGCTATAGATAAAGCAAACAACAAAATCTTCTTTAAACCCATCCTTTGGTTTTGAAGAGTTTTGGGGCTTTAGTTTGTACTTCTTTGAGTCAAAGACTAATATATTCGTAAGCAGATATGCTGTATGCATATTTTACTGGAATTTTTCCTTAATATCCGTCACTTTGGTACTTACCAGTGAGAAATCTTTTGTGGCGGTTTGTATCGTCCATTACATTTTTAGCCAGCGGATCCTTTTCCAAAACGGGATTGATACATTCACACTTCCGGACTGCATTCTTATCGTTTAGTTTTGACTTGAGAGAAGTCAGTTCAATCTCTAACGCGTTTACACGCTCTCCCAGGGTAAGTATAAATTGGCCGGAATTGTCCGAGTGGTCAGCTACCCCACCGGAAGTCATCACAAAAAACATGCAAATGTATATTAAGGCTAGCATCTCTGTAGAAAAGCCTTCCAATATTTTTGTGCAGATTTTTCCCTTATCTTATGTATTCATTTATCATTGCGTAATGTAAATATATTCTGTAGTAAGGATGTCATGAGATTCGTCCTTTATTTAATCAGGTAGCAATTTATCTTTTAATTTACTTTGTAAAGGTCTCATGTGTACTTGTCTACAAATACAATTAAGAATCTAAAGTGCGCTTATGAACTAGGCTTTACTGTATTCATGTGCTGAAAAAATAACAAGAAAAAAAAATTAAAAAACAAAATCTAACCAAGAAAAAATACATTGCTCAAAATGTAATTACTAATACTGCAATCTAATTGCATAGAAGATGAAATAAAACTAGTCATAATCTTTATTTGCGTATACATTTAAGGTATTTTTTTATGGAATCAAGGGTTTGATTTCCACCTGTGGGGGTCAGCTTGTCTTCTCTCACTCTTTTTTTTTTGGTGAGTGGGTGGGTTGGTTGGGTGTTCATAAGAAATCAGAAAATATTGAAAGATGTTGAAAAGTATCAAAAAGATACTCAATACGACGAATAACACTTATACATGTACATGAATAAATACGCAACGAAATAAGATGCCTATTCTTACTGAATTTGCCTCCTTTTATATATCCCTTTTATTGTATTTATGTACAATTAACAATGCTTATTCCTACTCAATGAGCTATCCATTTTTCAACTTTCTTATTCGCTAACAGTTCTATTCATCAGCCACGATCCAAACTCTTTTTACAAAAACATAAATTAATAATCATCTGATGAGAAAATGAAAATAAAATTGATACTATAACAAAATTTATATAACAACATTTAAGTTTAGTGTAAAGCAAATTTTTAAAATATTTTGTTCATAAATTTTTTAATTGTTATAATTAAAAAAATTATTCTACCGAACCTAAAAAAAAAAAAAGGTCTCATTTCCCCTTGAACGGCCGCTCCTGCGATAAAAAAAAATTGAATTTAATGAAGGGATGAGTGAATAAAAATACCATTGCTTTAGTATGATGAGCTTTTGAATTTAATGTCATATGCTGATGTATTTTTTGATTTATTAATGTTGTTGTTTCCTAAAGCAAAAATATGTAAAGTGTGATATTTCTTAGAGGAACACCGAGGTAAGTTTATTGGAGTCATCGCTCTTTTTACCGAATCAATCTACAATAGGAGAAATAGAGAGAAATGAACAAGTTGATATGTTTCCTAAGCTATTTTCCTTAAAAATGTATATATATAGTAAACTACAATTTACCAGTCAGTGCTTTTTACTTTGATGATTTCCGTTGATACTTTGATTTACTATGATAAGTGAAACTTTTCTGTGGAATTTTATTTTTTTTAAAGAAACTTTTATAATTACTTTTGGATTTTTTTCTATGTGATTTAGAGCATATATCTCTCAAATTCAATACCAATGATGGTCATTATGGAAATTATATTATTGAAAATGCAAGAAATCTTTCCTTTTAATTTAAAAAATATCTTATTTAAGAATTAATATTAATGAAACATAACAAAATGAATTTCATAAAAAATACTTTGACCTACTCTAGCAACTAAAATGTCTGTAGTAAAATCACTTATTAATTATAATTTACCTGTGCATGTCCTGCTCATTTAGGTCATGATTAACTGTTATTTGTCGAAAATAGGGAACTGGCATGACTGAATATCAGCTGAAATAAAATCAATAATCAATATTAATGGTGGATCTGGGGAACTAGAATCATTTACAATTAACACGCACAAGAATCTGTGCATTCAAGAAATCGTTCGCGCGCATATAGATTATAATTAGAGTTATGCAAAGTAAGTTTTAAACCACTAATAAACATGTTTTGCCTACTTGAATAAAGGTATGTTAAAACTATCAAGTTTTCATTTTGTATAGCATTCACTTACGAATTTAATTCATATATAATTCAAATAAAGACCTAATTTACGACTCTTTAAGATAGCTTTGCATTCAGTGTTTTATTATGTCTTATCGTGGACATGAAGTACATCCTAAAATGTATCTCAGAAGTAAACCTAAGACACTTTCATGAACAAAAATAAGGAACACTTACTTAATACTTGGAATATCATCCAGTGACGAAGTGGTCTTTTCTAGAAGCATTTGCAATTTAATATACTGCAGTTAGATAAAAAAAAAACCATTTACAGAAAAATAAGAAAGGGAGAAAAAATTCCTTTCGGATTTAAGATATTAATTTCTAATTTGAAGGCGGAGCTATGAAGTTGTTTAACAAAATTATGTTAATATAGCAGATTTATCCTCCATTTTTTAAAAACTCCTATTATCATTTTGCACTGATACATTTAATGCGTCTAGCACTTTCGCACAAATATTTCACGAAAAAATCTTAACGAACAAATGTTATTTCGCCGTAAATGTCGTAGATCAAAACAAACACTAGACATAGTAGAATATCTATCATATTTTCTCTTTTTGGTTATCTTTGTTTTAAATCGGTAGACTCTAAATAAATCAATAACCGCCAAATTGTTTTCTTGCATTTCCGTCAAAATTGACAAGTTAACGATCAGAAATTGTGTTTATGTCAGAAAAAAGAGATTTGTACACTTAACTACCAGGATATCTGTCAATGATTCTGTTTTACCTTTGCCTGACACAAACTTTCTTTTTGGCAAAAAAGGCCAATTACTAAAAAAATGTCAGTACCGGTATTTTCGTAAGGGGCAAGATTTGGATCTTTATTTTATGATACAATTTTCTTATGATTTACAATGTAATGTCTAATTTAATGTTTAATTTATATGTTGCGAATAAGCAAATAAAACATTTCACAAGAGCAAAATATGTTTTTTTTGTTTTTAATACATGCAATTAATTTACGAAATTAGTATGATACTCAAAAAATGTCATAGACATTTTTTAAACAATATTTCCTACTTTGTTTTAGCTTAAACACATATTTATCATGTGTATCAAATATCCTAATTAGGCTAATTTGTCGCATAGTTGAAGGACTTTTCAATGTGTCTTAACTGTCTCATATTAATCTTAACCTGATATTATAATTACATGGTTCTGATAAAACACAAAAGTAGATAGCATTATTGTTATATATGTTCCATTCCTTAATCAATTTTGATCAGAAATTTATTTTCAAGTACAGGTCTTATTAAATAAAAGATATATATAATGAAACCGCCACAATTTTATTTATATCAGTGTAAGTCAATATTTTTTTTTTATTTTGAGCTTGTGAAACAATGATTTCTGATTCTTTTTGTTCTCTTTAAGAACATACGATGATTTTAATTATGAACAATTGAAAAATAAGAAGTACATATTCATAACATTTTTTGTGATAATGGGGTGTAGACTTTTATAATGTATAAAGATTACTCCTAAATATTCTACAAAGAATACACAAGTTGTAATTTAGTAATAAAAAATTTATTGAAAATATATCTAAAAACTCAATTCTCAGCCAATCAAAAGTCGTTTTAAAAAAGGAACAAATTCTGTTGATGACATCAAGGAAATAAATTGGTATTACCAAAATAAAATTACGAAATTCGATCAGTTAAAAATATTTAACCGATAAAAGTTATAGCTGGCTGTGTTTTGCAAATGAAATAAATTTAAAAAAAATGTTCAATCAGTCATAAATACGTAGTTTACGACTTCTGTATTCTTGAACTTATATTTCATTAATTTGACACATTATATATGTATTTGTCTATCTTTAGCATTTGAATTGCAAACACAAATTTGTGGGGGGAAAAAAAAAAAAAAAAAAAAAAAAAAACAGAAAACAAAACAAAACACAACGAAAATAAAAAAAGAAAAAAAAAACCAGTCTGTTAAGTGAAATATATTCCATATCCAATTGCAAAATATTGAATTTTTTGTTTATTGCATTTTCTTTGATTTTCCCTGTCACGGATGAGCGAATGAGATCATAGCTTAGCAATTGCGAAATTGAAAATATTGTAAACATTGGATTTCGACAACATTATTGTATAAACTTTTGCAGTTTTAGTCTCTGTAAGGACGGTTTATATACTCTCTCTATGTTATATCAGGCCAGAGAATATTTTTTTAACAACACTCTTCGTAAAGGAAAGGTGTTTTCCCACCATTCTGTTATTCTGTCACACTGTGACAGAATATCACTTTGATATTCTTTCACACTGTGACGAAATATCAATTTTATTCAATAAAAAAATTGCAGAATCTCTCTGTTGAAAATGTAATTATTGTGGTACTCATTTCTTTTCATGTATTAAGAGTAATATATATATATATATATATATATATATATATATATATATATATATATATATATATATATATATATATATATATATATAAAAGTAATATATATATATATATATATATATATATATATATATATATATATATATATATATATATATATATATATATATATATATATATATATATATATATATTAAGGGGGGGATACATTTGAATGATAATTTTTCCACTTAGTATATTCTTTGCTTTAAATTTTACTTGTAAACATTTAAAAAGGATGAAATATCTTCTCAAAATGAAATAAAATCTTTTGGTCGTCACATCAATCATAATTTCATTAACCTGAACTTTGAATTTTTCATAAAATCAAAAATAAAACGTTTCCAGACTCGATGTATAATCAACTTTACAATTAATGTCAATGGCGGCTATATATTGATAAGTTTGGAATTAGATGACATACAATGTAGTCTTCCTAACACTCTATACATAAGATCATCCACTGATTTCACCCCAAAATAATCAAATAAAATGTCAAACATTAATCAATGAATTTTATCTGTAGAAATGACAAATATTACAAATAAATAGTTAACATTTTAACAGTAAACGGAAAATTCTTCGTCTGTTTTACCAGACATTTTGTGTTAGGTAATGCGTAGTAATTTCAGTGCAAGTCCACCAGGGTTA